TTTTTTTTTTTTTAGAAAAGCCTGAATGTGAAAACGTATGCATTTCTGTTTATTTCCCAGCTTGCTGCCATTGGCAGTCTCCCTGACAACATATATGACCTCTGGGAGGTCACAGGAAAACGTAAAGAAGCCGCTTTCACCTGGGACCTTACACGCAATGACAACTTGGAATGGCAAGCACGCTTTAGACCAAAATGTCGATTTGACCGTTTGTACATCAGACACAGCACTCCAAGGACGCAACTGAAGCCAGTTTACTTTGAGTTGACAGGACTTGAGAGAATACCAGGATGTAGGAGGTTCCCTAGCGACCACTGGGGTATTCTGGCACACTTTGATAAAGTGTAGTGACAGCTGGTTTCCTAGCAACCACTTGTTTTTCAGTGAAGGACATACCGGTAACGTCAGCAGTGGAAATCTGGTTTGTTTTACTTTGATGCACTAGGTCTGAGAAAACAAAAACTTGTAATTAAAGCTAGACGATTACAGGGACCAAACAGCAAAGAAATATAAGAAAATACTTTTGTAAAAATAAGAAGTTCAAAGAAACAGATTCAGTAGCATTTAGTAAGATAGCATTTTTTTTATTAAACTATTACTTCTGAATCGGCAAAAGGTAGAATTAAATGTATAAAACAACTGTGTTTGGAAGTAAATTTCTTATACTGTTATTTAGATCAAGGTGTACATGTACGAGACTCCCTACTAACAAGCTGTAACAGTAGGTAACTTTTTCATCATCAGAAAATACAAAACTAAAACCATTCTCTCCAATTATTTATTTGATAATAAACAACAAATCCACTCACACAAGGATGTTCTAAACAACACATCATTAAATGACAGACTTAAGCTAGAGGAAAGAGAAGAGAACACTAATAAGTTTGTAATCATATCAATTACACAGTAATCAAGCATGTGGCAGTTATAGAACAGTTAAACACTATAAACAATTTGAGACCTAGTGGTTCTTTGAAACTTCACAGAAAAAAGTCTTAAATGGGTGTAATATGCAAGTGATCATCACACACCAACTCTGTCCTTAGGTGCTTGGAGGTTATTAAATGCATTGCAGGCTCACAAATTAGCTGGCATTGTACGTGACTGAAACAAGACTGTAATGAACAGTGTCCTGTGTGGGGAAAGGAAAACTGTTTAACAGCAATGTAAGTGATGACTTTCTTTCAACTTGCTGATCTCTTGCCATTTTTCCAGCATTTTATTGAAATAAAATAATGAAAGAAAGAACCTTCACACAATTTCAGGTATGAACTTTGAGGCTACAATTTGCCTTCAGTTCTGTTGATGATACTAGTCTAAACACATTTTGTAGAAAGCTGGTGCCCCACTCCCTCATTGTTAAAAATGTTAACCAATTGTCAGATAAATTGTGAGCGGCCTAAGTAGGTCCTTGTGTCCCATCTGTTCTACTTGTCCTACTTCTTATCATCCTTCTCCTCGTCTTCTTCGTAGTGGTGATGGCTTTTAATCTTGTCAATACTTTCCTGGAATAAAAAGTAAAAAAAAACTTGTAAAAAATGTAAAAGAAAAAAAGCTTCACTTTTTAAGGCAAATTCATTTTAATACATTATTTATTTATTTATTTATTTATTTTCACGAGGATGTGAAGCTGGGTGTTATTCTAACAATTTTTATTAGAACTGACATAATTAAAACATCACTCAAAACATTAGCATAGCAAAAAAGGTTTTTTAAACCCGATACATATATTTATATACATAACACAATATCTTTAAGTGATGTTATGTTATAATGCATTCTAAAAAGTTAGATTATGTGCTAGTATTTACAGCATTTTTATGTACTAATATAAACAATTTTCCATGCATTTACTACACAGTGCAAAATAATTTCCTTAAAGCAAAATCTAAACATAAATCACTATGTAAACAAAGGATTCCTAAATGATGGAAAACTATCACACCGGTAACAAACACATCCAAAACTAAACCCCATTTTTTACCTAAAAATTTTGTACTAAAAAGAAAAACAATAATTTAAACCATTTTGTACCCTCCGTAAAAAAAATATAAGAAATGTAAAGAGCACATCACCATTTTTGATTTTCAGGCAACTTCCAGCAATTTAAAACCAGATAATTTAAAACCAGAATGCACAATTGCAGGAGTAAAATTGCCCATTTTGCAACAGACATGCTTTAACACACAGTATATACAGAACTTGGTTGTTTTATTATAGTGCTGTACCGAACATTGCAACTTTTCTCCTCCTTGCTGTAGAGATCGAGAGAGAGACAGAGACAGAGAAACAGAATTTTGTTTATCATCAATTATAGTTATTATTCTCTGCTAAACTGGATGTCCTAACAGACAGAGAACAATAACTGATTTTCGATGCTGACTGACAGTTGATTAAAACAGCTGATGAAATTCTTTGTCTGGAAAAAGCAAGCAGACAGAAAGGCTCATCTTGTTCCTAAAGCAGAGTGTAAAGCAAGCAGAAAAAAAGCATTTGCAATCAGGCCAGGAGTGAAGCCAGTCATTTAAAGGGGCAGGGGTTGGGGGTTCTTTGTTATTTTAAAGTTTTTTTTTTTTTTTTTTTTTTTTTTTTTTTGAAAAAGTGGATCATTTTACAAAAAAAAAATTCTTATATAACTAGGATCAAATCTAGATTCAGAGAGGATCTATTCCCAGCCAAAAGGACAAAAAAAAAGGTCCACTCTGAATCAAAACTTAACAGTATTGTTAAAACCCAGCCCCCTTTCTTTCCTGTCTACAGATCTGGCTATTGACTATTATATATTTATATATATATAGAGAGAGAGAGAAAAGCAAAGGTATACATCGCAGGCATGCAGCTTTGCCATATTTCTAAGAGGGAGCACATAAATATATCTAACTTTATTTCTTTTTATCATCATCGCTGTCACTATCACTTTCCAAGTGGTCCAAATCCTTTTGCAGTTTCTTATGACGTTTTATAATATCCTGAAAGTAGAGTATGCAGACCATATTTCAACCACAGAGCACAAAGTAAATGATATGAGAAAAGTTGGAGTCCAGCTTTGACTTTCACTGCCTGGAAATAAAATTTTCAGCCATTCGATTTACATTTGAAAATGCCAACTCTTTGCACACCTGACATTAAATCCTTTTATATTAAATGTACTATAATTCAGTTTCAATTTGATATAAACTAACACAAAACTCACCTGGTGATGTTTTATCACTTGTTCATGGTATGATATCTGATCTTCGTGAATTTTCTTTATTTCAGCAAGTTGCTCTGCGTTCTAAAATATGACATAACTGACATTTATATTTCAAGTTGGACACTTCTTCCTTGCAAAAGATTTCAAACTTTGCATAGATATATATATTCTTTAAAAAATTACATGACTTGTTGCCTTTCCAATACAATTTAAACATGAACAACATCATTTATAGCTCTATGTTTTTCTTTCACTATTTAGATACCTGGTTAAAATGTTAAACCTTGAATTAACAAATAAAATGTATTTAAAGACTCCATCTCTCTCTTTCTCTCTATCTTTCTCTTTTTAACAGAGAGAGAGAGAGAGAGAGAGAGAGAGAAAGAGAAAATTTTCCTCCTCAAATTTACCTTTCTTCTGAAGTACTCCTCCTCTCTGGCAGCCTCCATCTTGCCGAAGGTGCCGCCTGCTTCTCTGTAAATATACACAGTTAAAATGAATATAATCACTTACTATAATCCAAATACCATGTATATCAGTATTTTAACTGCAGGAGAAAAATTCAGCACACACAGAAG